CTAATGCATACTCATGACCCTATGCAAATGTTCATCATCAGACTTGACTAATAGGGAATTAATTAATGCAACAATGGGGAGCAGAGCCACACTAACAAACAGAGCAGGGGCATGCAGGGAATCTAACTCTGATCAAAGCCCCTGGTTTACTTTTAATCTTAACAAAACATGGTTTTAAGTTTGCGGCAGATTGTTCCTGATGCATAATTAAAGCTCGACTGTGACATTGCAGTAGTTTTATAACACAGCATCCAACTCTAAAGCATTTCAGCTGCTGTAAGTGGGTTGAGCCCACTGCAGCTGTCAAAGGATGTCTATGTGCCACTTTTTAAAGCCAGTGTTAGAAAATAGGATTGATTCCCTGGCATGTGTGGAACAGCAAAAACAAAAATAGAAGAGAATATGCTCACTTAGTTCTTGTCCAGTCGGTGGACAAATGCACAGCCTGCCTACTGCCTGACACTCCAGATGGTTTTGCACACAGAACTATGTGGGATGTTTTGGCAGGTAATGGGAGACACCTTTTGTCTATTGCTGTATCACAGGTGGCATTTAACCAATCAGATCAGCGAACCACCACCCGTGAAGACAGCTGGTGAATCAAACTCAGCTGAGAGAAGAGGGAAGCATGTTTTCCACTGAGGAAACGTTCATCTTTGTTTGAACCCTCTGTGGTTCTCATTAACTTAATACTTAAGCAGGGATGGACACTAATCTCTTCAGAAGCCTTCATGGTTGTTTTTAAAGGACTGTCGTCACACAGGAAACACACCTGTAGATGCCATGAGGTTCTGCCGCAAGCTCACCTGCAGAGACAACCTCTGGCTGTTGAACCATAACTTCCTCAGCAAGCAACTTTGCAGAATCAATATCTGTAAATGTTACATGCATGCAGTGTTTCAGTACATACACTTAGATATTAAGCACTTTGAAGGCACAGAAGACGAGGCACACACTGTATCAATACCCATCCCAACTTTTCCTTTCCTCATGTTCTGCAAAATCAGCTTATTGATGGAATATGTCAGTCTGTAACAGCAGTATACATCCAGTGCCCAATATTCATGCTCCCTGTGCAGCACAGCTCAGAGCTCACGCTGGCTTCACACACAGGAGAAACATGGATTATGGCACACAGAGAGTTTGAGACCATTACCACCAACAATGACTAAGTTGATTAGGGTTCCTTGATTTATGTGCGTGTTTGTCTGCAGAAATATATTCCAGTAAAACATTGGAGCCTAAGCTGGCTCAGACAAACGCACCAAATAAATCACTTTAATTAAGACTATTTTTGTCACTCCACAGTTTTTCCACCACGGTGCTCAGCAAAAATCTTGCACAAATGTCACCTCATTTTTAAAAACACTTCTTATGGGTAAAAGTTATTATATCCATAAGAGCTAAAGTGTGCAGTTCAACCTGCATGAATCCAGCTGCAAGACGTTCATATACAGGGTACATACTACTGGCTCACAACCTCTCTCTGACTGCATATATAGCATCGGCCATTTTCAAACGTTGCAGAGTTTGTGAAAGACACACATGTGTGTCGTTCAGCATTGTTCATTCTTCACAGTATTAAAGTGCAGAATGCTGGTTAAAAAGCAAAGACACAACACTTCAACGTCAGTTTTATAACATGCTCCTATTGTGCTGCAGTGTTGAACAGTTACAGGGTTAGCAGGTTAACGGTTGCTTTAGTAAAAACAGTGATGCCGTACTCCCAGGAAACTAAAACAAAACATTAAAAACTACCCAGACTACTTTACGCTTTATGGCGTGTCATGACTGTTGCACTGCAGTGCTGCTGCTGGCACCTTGTGGAGTCACAGTCTGAGTTAGCTGCTGCGCTCTCACTGATAGAGAAGGATGGAAAACACCTTTTGTTTCGTTTGCACCGATAAATGCTGCTGCCTGCAAGCTGCAGTCAGAACATTATTCAGTTTTTGCTTCTATAGTGTAAAAGTCATATAGTTTCCTCGAATTATCACGATACAATGTGAAGGTTATACCAACAAACCCTACTATCCACACAACACTTCCAGTGGAAGCTGAGCTCAGCTGCATGTGCTGCGTAATCCTCTAAAGCATTACATTGCACATCTCTCCCACTCTGTTTCTAATTTGGAAGTGAACCTGCGCATCACTGTTTGGCCTGCAAAGACCAGCAGAGCTCCAAGAAGCCACACTTCACTTTTTATGGTTTAATATGAACAGTAAGACTTGAAATGTAGAAAAATGGGTTTTAGTACTGCGACCTCACTCTTTCAGAGATCGGTGGCTCATCAGAAACAAAACAACTTCCTCATCATAGCTTTAAACAGACGCTTCATCAGTAACACACACATCAACCTCACCTGAGGGAGTGACACAAGTCATTTCTTTATCAGAAAATGCAGAATGCTGCAATTTGCAAAGGAGAGAAGAGGCAGTGATCTAGTTTGTCGCCCCACTGTGGGGTTTCTGACACACTTACAACGCTGCCACTTAGAATGGGAGAAAGTAAATGCGACACACTGTGTAGTAAACAATGACAGGCGCAAAAGTCATCACCACTTCAACAAAGAATTACAACTTCTGCGATGCCACATAATCGAAACACAATTCTTGCATTTGTTTTTAAAAACACTGGAGTGGAAACAGAAAAACCCATCAGCCTTAAAAGCGTTGATTGCACACGTCTCCCTAACATCACAATAACACGACTACACAACAAACTATATTTCTTCTGTTAGATCTTTAGGAGATAGTAATGATGGGTCCTACGGCTCTGCTGCTGTGTGCCATCCATGGCTCCAGTTATATCTTAATGTCAATAATTGTATTTATTTATTTGTTATATTATATAACTGCCCTTCTATGCAGCCCCACAGTGTTTCTGTTTCAGTGTTTCTTATGCATACACCATGTATATCGTTCACTCACACATATGTATACATGCTTTTTATGTTTTTCCCTCGTTGTAGATTGTTTTCTCTTCTCTACTTTTGCACCTTTGTGGTCCAGCTACCCAAATCTGCTGTGCAAGAAACTGCACAATGACAATAAAACGCTCTAAGTCTCTAAGACGGGAGTGACAGGACGCCGAGTCAAGAGCCAGCATGTGTGAGTAGCTCTGGGTATCAGAGAGCTGCAGGGTGTGAGTGAGTTTAGCCTGCTGTGTGTGCGGCTGCCTGTGGTGTGTCTGAAGCATACACGTGCAGGTATGGGTATATTGTATGGGTGTTGTAGTCTAGTTAGTTAAATAACTGTTCATTATGACACATGACTATAGTCACCAAGGCCAGGAGCATCGCTGCATTGTATATGTTTGTCCCCCAAAAAGACATCTGCTTCCAGGGAATCGTCTCATGCTTCACTACTGAAATATCTGTCCACTGTTTAAACTGCGTAATACGTCAGTCAGCACACTTCTACACCCCCATACAGAAGGTCAGTTTGAGTGTGTGCAGCTCATAAATGTGCAGAATGTCTGCACGAGTTCTTCCTCAGGACATCAGATGTTTTTGAAACATGTAAATTATTTAGCCTTGTTTGCCGTTCAGCATCCTCTCCTCTGCTGCTCTGAGGGATCGCTGCGCTTGTCATCACCTATTTGATGCTGCCATCTACAGGCACAGCCCGGAAAGGCAGGCGCTCTGCTCACAACAAGCCCTGTTTGCCAGGCATTTGCCACACAGACTGAAGAGTACGAAGCTTTAAAGCTCAACCACAGTCGTACATTCAGCTGAGTCTAAAGGTACACTGATCCCTGAATAGACTGACAAACAGCAGACTCTGGACTCCACAGTTCAGAGGTCAGAGGGCAGGCGGAGGCACTTCTTTAGGGGACTTTAGGGAACGTATGGGGCTTCACAACAAATATAGAAAAACACTCAGCAACTATGTGATGTTATTAGGGGCTCTTGGTTCGTAGGATTTCCTTTTCCTTCCACATGACCCCCCGCTGTTCTTCTTCTCTCTTCTCATTCAGTAAAGTCGTGCAGGAGGGAGGTTACACGGATGTCAGACATATATGTGCTGATGAAAGCACCTCGTGAATTTTCCTTTCTTCTAACAGCTCTATAAATAGCACTCTATAACATTTGGAGACACAGCTGGTACTGCTTTCTCCATCTGCACTGTATCATAACTGCACCACTGGCTAATACACGTGTATGCACACACACGCACGCACGCACGCACACACACACACACACACACACACACACACACA